TTACAAAAAAACTTAAAACCAACGCCCGACGCCGGGCGACTGCAATAGCTCTCCATATTCTTCGAAAAGTCGAGCTAAAAATTAAAAGTATAAGATTTCCTACATGTTTAAAATAACACTTTCAGATAATATCAATTCCAAATCAAAGTTTAACTCTATAAATAGAAACATACCATCTTCTGATAATTTGACAGCATTTCTGACCATCTGTGGAGGATACACTGATCTGACAGCAGCATCAAATATTTCCCGTGTCTCTTTATGCATGTTTTGTACATCCATCTGGTTCAATTTCTCTGTATTTGACAGAGCTGTAGCAAACTTTCTACACCCACACTGAAAAAAAAAAGAAGAAACTAATGTCAGTTATAATTTTATTTCATCACAAGTCAACAAGGGATAGCAACATTCATGAAACACATTCATAGTATCTTGACTTATTAGGCACCTATTTGCGGTTCCAGTTAGAATTAATGATGTAGATCTGTCATTGATTTAGTGCAAAGCATATCAATGATATATCGATATCGGATGACAAATATCAACAATACACTGATTTATCAATAATTACCTATAATTACTTGTCTTTTATTCACTTTCATACCTGTTTAAATGATTTCTGTAAAATACATGTTCTGTTCAGTGTCTTTTGTATAAATGCCCATTGCATGTTTTTTTCCTGACCATTTTTTTGTCATCACTGATGAAATGTGTTCATAATGTAACAACAGCTTAGTGTTAGACATGGACACCTGCTTTTCTATAGGTTTTGGATAAATTTTCATAATTCATAGACATTAAAATAATAAATCAAAATTATAGATTTTTTCAAATGTGTATCGATAATTGATTGACAGAAAAATATCGACAATACATTGACATCCTCAAATGGTCATATATAAAGATATAAAATGAATGAAAACAATTTGAATGTAGATGTTAATTAGTTGTCATGTACTGTATTATGTAAATTTGCTTGCATACATTTGTAACTTAGTATCTACAATGTATTCAATGTTTGACATATACACACATATATAGTAAATAATTCATGAATGATACATTTTGTCATCAGCCTGTGATACATCAGAAAATATTTTACTACAATCTCTTGTCTCGCTAGCAGCAACATCCTGACAATTCCTGCCTTTCTAAATATCAAACTACAAGATACCTCTAGTGACAAGCCCAAGGTTGCCAATATTTATGCAAATCATTAATATTTATTGATGGAGAATTTTGATTAAACTTTTAGAATTAATCTGAAAATTACAAACTGATTGGAACTAAAAAGTTGAACATAAATTTAGTCATACTTCATAAATGTAGTCATACTTTTTTTTTTTAATCTATATCTCTTAAATATTGTATACTTTCCCTGTGCTGCTGAACAAGAGTGTCAGGTGAGATTTGCAAAATTTTCTCTATATCACTGTGCTCTGGTGAGTTAAAAGGGGAAAAACTAAACAGTGACCTAAATAAACAGCTGTTGTCCTTTTTACTACTCTGTTAAAATTATGAAACTATCCCATTCAATATGTTTAAAAGTAACAAAAAACATGTAACAAAATAATGTTAAAATTAAAATATAAAGTAAACTAATATTTACCTTGACTAGCAGTGTTGGAAATGTTGAAACTGGGCAAGAACCATCAGTTCCTTTCCTTGTATCGTAAAATAAAGAGCGCTTATTTTCAGTTACATTGTAAGCAACAAGAAGACGTCCATGTCTTGGTGTATAAATACATAAAGTGGCAATAGTCCTTGATAATTTACTGACCCAGTTTTGACACCGATACATAATGATAAGCTGTTAGGCAGTTCATCTATTCAAATTCTCTATCTCTGGCTCACATTTAATCATTGGAATAATAAACACAGTGACACCTGAAATAATGTTATAAAAAGAACAGTACAGTCAAACCTGCATTTTGTGACCATCTTTGGGTAAATAAACATAGGTGATATCTCACTATGTAAGATATTAATTTTTTAATTAGAGACATAATATCAGGGAGGCAACTGTGTTGTGCTGTGTTACATACATGTGACAAATGAAAAGGGCCAAATCTGGATTTTCAGCTAGATTTTGAGGCTCAAAACTGGATTTTTTTATCGACTCGAATTTCAATGTGTGTTTGGCACATTTGGTTCAAAGAATCTATATTACCCTCAAAATCATTAAATGATTATACTTCTTATGATTTTTTTGTTGATCAATATCACAGATATATAAACATTATATTAAGCTCCATGTCAATATTAATTTATTTCACCAAAAAATAAATAAATAAATAATTTTAATTTAGTCATACAGGCTATTTCTAAAACAGTCACATTTTCACATTTCATTATTTTCAGTTTGAATAATTATATCTGTCTTTTCAGTCTTACAATAATTGGCTAATAATTTAAAACACAAGCTATTTGAAAACGTGCAACAACTATTCATGAACATAAGACTCTGACAGTGAAATAACGTAACATAAGAAGAAGACTCAAAATAAATGCAAGAATCGGTCCGTTAATTAAATCCACATTTTTGCCTCGATGATTGTGTAATTCCTAAACAAAACAAAAAAATCACTAAAAATAGGTTAATTTGACATGGTTTTGCCACATCTAAAACAGGTTTTTGAATGATCCACTTTAAATGATTCTGCTCACCTTTAATCTGTGCGGCACTTATCAAAGAAAATCAAAGGTTGAGCCGAATTCATACATGTAAATTTACAGGGTCTTTTTAATGACGTAGCATGTAATACCTACTGCCAAATTATAAAAGAGGTCAATTGAGTGACACACGACACGTGTTATGTTTAACATGTGAGAATAACTTTGGGTGATGGAACTGTATATTACGTCACCTTGCTGTCAATTAGCGACTCAACATTTAATCCGCTATAATTTAGGATATGGACAGATAACAATCAATGCCCGGAGGCATGGTTTACATTTTAGATACAGGTGCTGCGTTTGATTTTTTTTATGTTGATTTTTTTTAAATATAGGGAATTCAAGCTGTAATATCGGGAATCGGGATCAGTGTTGAAATATCAGGATTTTTTTAAATCCCGTCGGGATATCACATGTATGGTGTTATGTCTACGTCCAGTCAGGCACACTTGTCACCATTTGATCTTGTTGATCCTAGTAAAAGGGTTTTTTTCCACAGTAAACATTGTAAAAAAGAAATATATAAGCCAACTGGCTTAAGATTTTAACAGTCCTTTAGAATCAAAATGATCTTTACATAATTCTATGAAAATTCATTAATGTAATTTTTCATTATTACAAACGCTTCATTATCGATTAAGTAGCACTCAATATGAAGCCAACATATGACTGTTTATCTAGTAGGTAGTGTTGCTTGTCCCATAATATCATGTCCCAGATTCAAACAAGCACTTTCATATCAGTCCGTATAAAAGTGGTTTAATCCTTAAGCACCAAATCATTCACTTGTTACTTATACCGAAATACAGTTTTTAATTTTTTCTTTTAAATATCAAATTTAGTTTAACAGATATCTGTAGCATGATGGAAATTCAGTTTATCCCAATGTTACCTTATGTAACACTTGTGTGTGAAAAAAGAATTTTGGTTTTATGCCATATATGGAAACATGGCTCACTTCATTTGGGTTTAGAAACTGTTGGTTAAAATACACCCATCTCAAAACACGGTAATTGACAACACTTAAATGTGCCCAAACAGTCGTCTGCATACATCGATGACAGGACTGGTGTCTGTGATGTAACACAGTCTCAAGGCAATCAGTGTATTGGGTTGTCACGTTGTGTTTACATCTCGGGTAATTATCTACACAGGAAATGTATATCGGCTTGTTTATTTGGCTAATTGGGGTTAACTTATAGACACAATAGAAAGGAATATCGTCATCATTTAAAGCGCAATGATAATTTTAAGAGCATCAGGATTTCTTGTCCTGAAATTTTAGCGCATCAGTGCCGATGCGTTAAAAGCGTCTGGGAAATTCTCTGCCAATGTATATATAACATTTTAATTAATTAAATTAATTAAAAATTGATTAAAATAGTGCAATAAACAACAACTACTATGAAAGTTTTCACGCGTTTTACACATTTAATAATAACAATAAATGTTGATGAATCAATACCTTTTCTCAGCAGAAAATTACGTTTGACAAACAGACTGCCTTTGACAGAATTTCTTTTTACTGCATAATTCGTCCTCTGGCTTTGTAAAGGTTAACAGTCATCTGTTCTTGTAACCAATATAAGAATACAACACAAATATGTCCATCAACGTATATACAATCATCTATTTTCATGCCAACGTCTTTAAAATAATTAAACGAATTCGTGTAACACTATATGGTGTTATTTGGGACTTCTTCTCCCTGTCTAACCTTTTGTGTACAAATGGCTTACTCTTAAAAAAGGGGAATAACTCTTTCATGTATGTTGATATCTGTAAACTGACGCAAAAAGTTTTGAAATTCTTATATATACTTTTAGATCAGCTGTAGCATTTTAAACAAAAAAAATATGCATGATGAAATTAAAAAATATGCTAGAATATTAATTGAAAATCGTATTTATGCGCTATTTTAGCCCGATTTGTGCGCTATTCTTAGCCCGATTTGAGAGGGTACCATGCAGTACTCAGTATTGGGTTATTTTTCACAGAACAATTATTCTGAATAAACGATCTGAAATTTTTGCACACCTTATTGGTCTAGACCTAGGCAGACGGAACATTTATCTCAAAAAATTATATTCGGTCTCATCATGTCAAAAACCCTAAGTTGAATAAACTTGTATCCCGTTAACAGAAGATCCTGTATGTTGTAAATAAGGTTGTTACCACACTTAAATAAAATTTTATATATGTAGATCTATATAATTATGCTTCTAAAACAATTTTCAGACATCGAAGAATATCTAAAAATCTGTTCTGCAAATATGTGTCCACATTATGTATAATCATTAGAATATATGCATTCATTTCTTATTGAAAAATTTGACTTAGACTTGATAGAAAATAAATTTCTAAATACCTCCCTTTAATAACATAAAATGTAAATTCGGTAATATCTTTATACAAGTAATGCTTTTTGGAACTTAAAATATTGATAAATCTTTATTTCAGCATTACATTTATGAAATAAAACCATAAAAATCGAGTTCAAAGATCTTTAAAGAAATGCACTAAAATTAAACTTGAAATTGACTGTGCTTAATAAATTTGTGTTGTTTTCTTTGTAAATATGTATGCCTGTCACAAAGATAAAAACTGTCACTGTATCTGTATGGAGCCAGCCATACGTTAAAGAACCAGGAGAAGCTTCTGGATTTGTGGCATCTTTTTATATCTGTATCTTGCACTCTAAAGTGACTAATACTCTTCTGGAGGACTCGCCCATATTGGCAACCGGTGGCGAGTATAAATAAACTCAAATACACAGACATGACAAACCAATGCCTTTTCATTTATTTTCATTGTAATCCAATGGCATCTGCAATGCTGAAATTTTCTATTGCCTCTCACATAAACATTTCTCACCTCAGACTTATTGACTAGGCCTACATGAACATACATTTATTCAAAAATTCTAACACTCCTCGTGATTTTGTTACAAAGAAGAAAAAACCGACCGGTGATTTTGAAAGAGTGATACCATTAGAGATATCTTGTGATACCATTTGGGTATCTTGTAAGATCTCAAATCTATCAAAATGTTTTACCAATTTAATAAACAGGTGTCGTAAGTCACCTACGGATTTGAACAGTATGCAAAAACTTATTTAATTTTTCCACATTTTCTTCGTCAATTCAACTGTAATTTAGTTATAGTACTTAAAACCAGAAATGTAGATAACCGAGATAAGCAGCTCCTATATACAACATTGAAATATCGCTCATACCTATCAACAAGCGAAAAATTAGGCATTTTGTAGCAAGTAAAACTTTATGGATGTACATCTGATCCTTTTATATTATACACCATATGAAAGTTACATGTTTTATCTATTGCTGCATGTTACAATATTGGTAACTTACCATGCCTTTCACTTAGAAAAAAAACATAGCAGAAAATACCCACTGGTCCAAATTTGTCCAAATGAATAGTTTTGTAACAAAAATTAATAAGTAGTTCTCTTTAAAAACTGATTTATCATTTATTTAAATGGGAACCGTAAATGATTTTACCTGCAGCCATGGACAAATGCATAAGCTTTCAGAAAATATATCATTTTACTGATGTTGATAACTGGTTAATAAGTTTTATTTGCTACAAGTTTTAAGTTTAACAGGCACGCGTGATATCTTAACTGGCTAGGAATTAAGTTGCCTATCTCTGTTTGTCTCTGTTAAAATGACTAAACAGCCATTATATTATAAGTTTGATTTTTGTATCTACATGTACATACAATCGAGGACTGATGAATAAGGACCTTTTCATCAATGATAGCTGTAAAGTTTCATATAAATTTACTATAAAAAACGATTAAAGATCAGATTGTGTTGATTTGTGTATGTATGAATTATTTGTTTTAAATATTGAGGTGTTTCCCCTTTAAACACAGACAGCATACATTGATACTAGTTTTTTTTTCTGTTTTTTTTTTTCAAATAAACAAAATAATCTCGAATATAAACTGTTTGTACACATTGACAATTTCATAGACCTGTCGTTGTTTTTTTTCCAGCCAGAAACAAAATTGGTTCTATTTTGTTGAAACAATGCCTTTTTGGTTTGAGAGTATTGCCTGATATATTAATATGTTAGGTCTTGATAGTTCTTAATTCTACACAGTTTTAAAGTTTGCAACTCCTATATTTATTCTCTATTCCGGTTTCGTCTGTATGTATTGACCATATTGGACTGATTTGATCTGTCAAACAGCAAGTTCAAATTATGAAATATTTTATCAGTTATGTTATTTCACAAAAATTTTCAGATCAATAAACTTTCCCTTTTAACCAAAGAATAGTAAGTGGACTGAAAGTATTCACTTTAAACTTCATAAATGTCTTTAGGATCACATTAGGAGGTCACTTTCCAAAGCCCATAAATCAGACAGAATTTTGACTAAGTAGAAATTCCAGTCGAGCTTCATATGTGCTGAAGAGATCCATAGGTGATATAGAAAAGGGTTGGAATAATTCGAAACAATTTTAATGAAGTAAGCGACCAGGGCGTCTTTTACTTTCCAAATCTTA